GTTATTTAATGTGCTCTTTTCTTTTTTTGACATAGCATGTGTCTTTTCTTGTCCAATTTGGACAGAATAATTTAAGTGTTTAAGCTTGAAGGTGGTTGTGATTACGATGCCTCTGGTATTTAACTGATTAAATGCAAAAAATGGTTTTGCTTATCAAAAGAGGGAGTGTGGTGACAGTTTTTGGAGTAATTACATAACAACCAGCCGCAGCAAAATACACGGACGTCAAAGGCTTTTATCAATGCAGACGACTTCTGACGCCATGCTGGCTTTCGTGAAGGTCTGCTGTCTGTCACACCTTGGTCTTTACGTCTGCATCTGTATGATCCTGCATTTCCACCATTGTCTGTCTGTTCACACCCCATGCCACTGCACCACAGGGGATGGCGCCGGACGCTTCATGTGCGCCTCCTCACCGGTGCCCCCTCCGCTCGTTGTGGGCGTGACTATCTTTTGGTGTGGTGTCTTGCTACAGGATGCTGGGGGCTCTGGCCCCCAGAGCTGAGGGCATGTGCCTTTGTGTGCATATGCTGACTCTCCGCACTTGCGTTAACAATAAACTTACGCTTTGATCAGCACAAAGGGACCTTTGAGTTTCCTCCTTCAAGGGGTATATATTCTATAACAAGCATAATCATCTCTTCTAACATTTTACGCATCACAAAATAACTGCTTAAATGAGTGGGCTTTCTGTCAATGTTGTTGCTAGGAAACGCACTTGTAACCCGTTTGAAAATTATAAACTCAGTCTTAAGCACTACACTAGCTTGAAACTGTTATAACGTCGGGGAGTTGGGAAGTATCAGGTCTGAATGAGTGACCTCTCACGAAAGGCTCCCAAACACTCCAGCGTGTTCCTTTGCTTTCTGTTTGCAGCCTTGGGGATGGAACAACATTTGCAAAGCTTCCTCTGTGGAAGTGTGACCTCAAGCCCCCGTTGTAGCTCAGAGAGGCTAAACTGGCTGTGCATACCAACAGAGGTGGCTCTTGTTTTCCGCCAGCAGAGTCTCGAACAGCCAGACCTCCCTTCATTTTCCGCCTCTGTTTATCACTCAGACACCTGCTTGTCTCTTGCGCAAAATAGGAGCTTCAAGTCGATGTGGTTCGGTGTACAATTAATTGGAGATGATACTTGTCTTCCTGTGTGTGTTATTCTCATTGGGGAAAAAGACATACATGTACACTAAGCCTTTGTCGGACTGGATCACAGGGGCAGACAGGCACACAAAGACGGGACCCACACTTAAAACCTACAAGCTGCTCTGCCTGTAGGTTTGGCCATCAGAGGGACTCGAGCGGGGGTTTCATTACGGAGGAACTGTTAGGACTGAGAGGAAAGGAAAGATTGATGTGAATGTCAAATTTGTGCAAACCTAAAATCTTAGATGAGGGAATTTATGGCTTCAACGAATTACCAACAAATGTATTCTTTAATTCGAGAATTCAAATAGGATGGAACACTCATGATAAGATCGCAGCTACAGGTCTATCATCAGAATTTAGAGTTATTTTCCTTACTATGAAATTGGGTGAAAAGTGCTCGGCCCAGTTATCTTTCAAAGTCTAATTAATAACAAAAGCATAATAAGTAGGGCTGACAAACTATTACAATTTTTAGTTGATCAATCGCGTTGTATTGGGGAGTCTAACTCTTGATTAATCGCTTTTTTATCGTTCTATTTTTAATCCACTCAATTCAAGTTAATTGGAGATTATCAAGTTAATGACACATTGTCATTCCAAATGTACTTGAATCTGTTTGATTGCTCACAACCTTTTACTTTTGGACACAACCAACTACAACCTACATGAGTGTTAATTTAAAGGGGAAATGTACGTACCCAGCTTTAATTTAGCGAGTTTAGTTGGTTTCAGGAGAAGACAGGAGGGACACAGACACTTCCTGAGTTCAGCTTTAGCGGTGTATTTATTGTTGCACAGATACGCACAGGTCTCGCAAAGACACGCCCACATCATGCAGAGAAATAAGTTCTGTGAATGTTATGATCTTGGATATGATACGTTACTGGCGCCGTTTGCGTGTTGTTATTTGCAGCTGCGGATTTCAGTTCTACAGCAAACAACTGCAAGTACCCACGGACACGCACGTATACTTTTAAAACTTGAATTCCCAGAGGGACTACCTTCTCTGTTGCCATCTGTCTGCGGCATTCTGAGTGATATTTGTGTTATACATGGGCGGGTTCATTTGGTTAGTTAGTTAATCCGTTTTTGACAAGATTATTGTAAAATTGAATTAAACAGGCGTTAACGCAATAATTTTGACTGCCCTAATAATAAGTACTATTTACCATGCTTGACCAGCTTTATAATCCAGTTAGTTTGAAGTTGAAGGAATTATCTGTGGAGGAATACAGTAAGTTTTTGAAGTTTGAACTTGATCAGGGAAATAAAATGAAAATATTATTCCCCCTGCATCCGCTGTAGACATTGCCAATCCCAGTTATGTTATTGTATTCTGTGTTCATGCCCTGTTGTCTTTAAGGATCTCATACCTTTATAGACACATAGAGGATTGATAGAGATAGAATAGGAAATAGGATTGTGATGAATATGTGAACAAAATAAAAGATAAAGTGTAGCAATTTGTCCTTTGACATTTTTACATTTTTCATTTGTTTTCCTGGATTATCATTTGTTTATACTATAACACATTTAGTTAATGGATTGTCAATACATCTGCTGTAATAATCATTATAGAAAATGGTTGACAAGGAGTTGGATTGTAAATAAAGGAAACAAAACTGATTTAATTGTATCTCACTTAAACCAAATGGCCTCTATCAAACAAGTGTACCTTAATCTGAACCCAAATCAATTTTTGCCGAGTGAAACTAATTAAACATGTTTCTTTGTACAGCCATATCTGAAATCTTTCCAAGAAGAGTGTGGCGGCGAAAAAACATTTTATCCATAGTAGGATAAAATGGCTTTGCCATCTGGGACGTTGGTTTGTGATGACTCGGTCGAACACCAAGAGGGGCATCACATCTCTTGTCCCTTGCAGTATTACGCTGCTCAATATGAACTGAATCCAACTCACCATCGTTGACATGTGGGACTGTGCCGTTTCTGAACTGTCTCCTATTGATTGTGCATTGAGTTGTGCTTGTTATATAATTACTTGTTTTTATGTGCTCTATGTGCAAGACAATTCCTTGGGGGCAAAAGAGGTTTCTTTCATTCTTGAATATGTAAACTTGCATGTCCACTTTTGGAGGGAAAACCATAAGGACAATATTTGTGTAATTATCTTCTCCTGATGTTCTGCATGAGCCAAGCTAGAAAACTCATTCTTATAACTGACAGGGAAGTCTGGGCAGGCAGTCATTGTGTCAATTTGAATGGGCGGGCTAAGTGCACCGATGACAAATAAATAAACCCAATCAGCAAAAAACTGATTGCCGCATTGCCTAGACTTGTTTTTAATCAATGCAAAACATGGCTATTTTATGGCCTCCTGGTCTGCCAAAGTCAATGTAATTGGGGAGGGAATAAAGTAGTATCCATCACAGCGTTCCCTGTGCAGCAGCGTGAAGCATGGGGCAATTTATTTACATCAAAGTGCTGAACAAATAAGAAAAGCATTAAATCAAAAATAATCACAGAACATTAAAAAGAAAGATACAAATATAAAATCCCTCAGGTGTATGCACAGCTAAACAGAACTGTCTTTAACCTGGTTTTAAACCATTGTACAGAGAGGAGGCCTGTCTCACATCTTCAGGAAACTGTTCCAGAAGTTAGCATGCATGAATCTGCAAAGCAGCCTCCCCATGTTTAGTTCTGACTCTGGGCACTAACAGGAGTCCAGTCCCTGTTGCTCTCTCAGAGTCTCGGGCTGGGTTCGTTATGGGACTATCATGTTAACTTATTATTTTGGTGCTGAGGCCATGGAGAGCACTTGTACACATTGCAGAGCTGTTTTAAAGTCTATTCTCTGAGCCACAGGATGCCAGTGCAGTGACCTGAGAACTGGACTAGGGGTCGTACTTTCTGGGTCTAGTCAGGGACTCGAGCTGCTGCATTTTGAATGCTTTGCGGGATTTGATGTGGCTATTAAAATTTAAGTCTGAGTCCAGTATTACCCTAGATTCGACCTTGTTAAGGATTTAGGGAGTGTGAATGGAGGTGAAGATGACGCTCTCTCTTTGTTACTGGGGACCAAGACATTCATTTCAGTTTTTGGTCTGCTTTTAGCTGAAGGAAGTTGTTTTGCATCCACTCACGGATCTGTTGGATACAGTCTGAGTCACTGGTCCATGTATCCTGCAGACAGTGAGACATAGATCTGAGTGTCGTCCGCAGGTGTGTTAGACACTTCGTTTCTGCGTCTTAAACTGAACCTAACGGGCAGCAGGGTCAGGGTGCTGTGTAAGAGGAGGAGAGAAACTGTTTTGTAACTTGCAGAAATAAAGTTGTTTTTTCTCTTGTTGTAGTCTTTGGGACAACACCTCTGCACATGGTTCATCTAAACAGAGATATCAGTTACAATTGAGAAAGGGGATTTCCCCGCCTTTTTCACCTCATACATTGTCTGCTACAGGCATTGTGTTGGTTGCTCCTAATCCAAGGCATCAAAGTTGTTTCTGTGTGTGCGTTCAGCAGCATCTGCCATGATATTGCTTCTAAAAACTCAAGGTGGTCAATTTTCAAAATGGAATCGCTCAATTTGAATGTAATTCATACATATTCAGATATTTAATTGCCTTTTTCACAAGTGCAAACACCTTGGAAAGTAACTCAATGAGAAATTAGCAAGTGTCCTTTAGCAGTAAGAGATGACTAGACATGAGAAGCATGAGTTCAAAAAGCATCCCAGGTAGCCATCACCGAGCGTTCACAGTTGTTTTGGGACAACATCTGCTCAAAGTCAACTAGTGCTGGGTCATCATAAATCTACAGCAACGTCACCTCCAGGGAGGATGTCTTTCCTACTAAATTTGTGAACCCTTGCGAGACGTTCCAATTGTGACCCATCAGCTGCACGCCAACTTAGAAAACAGTTTTAGCCAGTTCAGGTAAGGTACACCCCCATCCTGAAGAAAATTGATAATAGTTGATTTTAATAAAGGGATTTTCTCATTTATTAAGCTTCATGAGTCAAAATGATTAAGACTTGAATGGACTTGAATACCAGCTCAGTCTGTGTGTATTAGTGGTACAGTATAAAGAGTATACAAGGGTTACATACATTGGTCCTCCTAATTACCATTTTTTGGTGTTATGAAAAAACACATTTGATTGGATTCTTTGAGGAGGGGCTTTTCTACTTTTTGGGAAAATCCTGCCTATATACCTTTAGCGACCTATTTGGGTTCATTTGCGACCAAATACGTGATTGCGGTTGGTCAGAGTCAACGAGTTAGTACAAATCAGGGAGGGTCCTGGTTAGGGGCCATAGAAAATGCCACAGCTATAATATGCTATAGAATAAAACTTTTGAAATACACAATCAAACAGATTAAACAGTGTTAATAAAAAAATAAAAAACGTCCTTAAACACAGGGTCTTTTCGTTTGTAAGGGTGATGCTGTGGTATTGGGGGCACATGTGCTCCTTACACGCTCACATGCTAAGACGCTTTAACTTTTTTTCTTGAAACTTACTTCATAGAAGTGAAATCAGGGACATTGTTAGATCTATCAGACTGTGCCATGAAGTAACTTATTGTTGATATATTTCATTATTTCTACTACTGCTAATGTTGCATGGGCTGCAGCAACTCAGAAAGAGGGGCACAGTGAACCGAATCGAAGCGTCTCGTCTTCTGGGTTAGAAAAATACCTCCAGAAAATACTTGTATGTCTCACAAGGTACAATACATCATAAATGTCTATAGTTTACTTTCATATGGCTAAAATAGCATGATATAGTCCCTTTAAATACATTGGTCGTCACTTACCTCCTCACTTTGTTCTAGAAGTCGGCGGATTTTCAGACCTTTGGCTCCTCCCTTGGGCTTAAATATGCTGATGAGCTTCTCAGAGAAGTGATCCAACTGGGAGAGAAACTTTGAGACGAGTGGCTTTGTCGTGATCCGTACGAATTCGTCATTTACCTTGAAAATATTTTTTAAAGTGTATTAATGACATGAAAAGGAAATATACAGTAATCACAGAAATGACAAAGGCACAAAAGTAATAACACATTTGTAAAATGCGGAATTACCTTACGTAACTAGTGACAGGCAATCATCCTTCCAACCATAAAAATATTTAATCATTGATTTAAACCCTTTTTTGTTAACAAATTACTGGCATGTTTCATGCAGATTTACACAATGCATTTTGGCTATTATAGTCAAGCAAGTTCAGCACTTTTTTTTTAAATCCTGGTTGAGTCATGGTTTTGCATTTTTTCACTATTTTTTTCATAGTATACTAATGTACTCACTCCATTTGGTGTAAACAGGGCAGGCCATCTGTCCTTGACTTCTGCAATCCTGGGTTTTTGTTCCACAATCTCCAGGCGTCTATGCGAGAAGGTCTTTTCCATTTTTGCCTTGATGACACCTTCATTGTCACTTTTTTTTGCTTCTGACAATAAGGCGACTCTTTCAGTCTCCAAGGTGTCAGCATTTTCACCTTGTGGATAGAGAGGGATGTAATTCACCTCTGCTTTCCGTGGCTTTTTAATCTTGGCTGCTGCTTTTCCTTTTCCCTCACGTTTGTGTTTTAGGGAGTTCACACGGATTTCCAAATCTCCAAGTTGACTAAGTGTGGTTCTGTAATTTTGTATTTTATATTTCAGCGATTGCTTCCATCCACAGAAACCTTTCTTGGTACCTAGTTGCTCCAGACAAGGATGTGCTCTTACTAAGGCTTCAGCTACTTCCTCACAATGATAACCTTGGGGATATTTGGTGTATTTCACCATTTCTTGAGCAAGGCCATCAAGGACTTTAGCTTAGGACCTGGGGTGAAGTATTTTCCAGTTGCAAACTCTGAATTTTTTTGCCGCAGTTCAAGTTCCGCCTCATATGGAAATTTTGGGATGACAAACACTCGAGGCCAGGACATTCTCACTTCTGGTGATGAATGGGGGCTTTGCAAAATGATTGTGTCATCGCTGCAGGATGAAACAAGGGAGGAAACTGGCGTTTCAGGCCTTGAAGTGGTAGGTGTTGATGGCATTACTGGATCTGGTGCGTCTGCCGTTTCCACTGGGTATAGTGTGATGAAGGCATCCTCAGGAGGTAAATACACAACTTTTATTGTGGCTTTGGAGCTGAGTTCTAACATTGAATCCAAGTTTATAAATGCATCCAAGTCTGTATCCATGTACTGAATTCTAAAAGGTCTTTGCACTTGAAAATCTTTTTGAATAATTCCGTAAAGCTCTTCGGTTGACAGTAGGGTCATTTTTCTGGAGTCTGACTCATCTCCAAATAGGACCCTCAGGACTGCCGGAGACGCCATCATTCTCCTTTAATCTAGAAAATAAACAATTGACAAGAAAACAAAATTAAATAATTTCATTATTAAAGAACAGTAACAGTCAACATACACTATTTGGCAACTATAAACCCTAATAAGAAATAGAAAGCTAAAGGGCCTATATCAAGGCCTGGAGACTGATCTGGTCAAGGAGATGTTTCAGAGACTTATCTTGGAGTTAAGGCGAGTCTCCGGGTAGTCTCCGGGTAGTCTCGGTGAAAATGAACATTGACTTTCGACATTCGATTTCAGCAGCGACCACATGGAGACTTGAAAAAGTCTCCATGTGGTTTCTGCATGATCTTCAAGGGGTCTACGCAGTCTCAAGCAGTTTTGACAATGTTGTGAATTCTATTTGTTATCCTTAACCTGTGAGATGTCTCTGTGACGTCCCCCCAATGTCCCCTAGACTCTTCTGATATCAAGGAGATCTCAAGGAGACTACACACAATTCTTTGAGATCTCCTTTGTATCCGACATGTCTGGGAGACATTGCGGGGACATCACGGCTAACATTGAACCGTTTGGTTTTCACCGAGGTTACCTCCAGGGGAAGTCTTAGAGACATCTCCGTGACCAGCAGCAACTCTAGTCTAATTAGTCTCCAGGCCGGTAAGATAGGCCCTTTGAATGCGCGCAATCCAAGTTACATAGACGTTGCAATTGCAACATCACAAAATCCTGGATGGACTTACTCTGTAATACAATTTTTTTTTAGAAGATAATAGAACCCAATTAAATTTAATTGCTAAATATTTCTTATTTGTATCCTAATTTTCATCTCAATGACTGAACTTTGTAAATGTAATTGATTAAATCCAGAATTAAACAAAGTATTTTCTTTATCTAGAATTATATAGAACGTTTAATTTCTCAAAACAGGAACAACATGTTTAAAGGAATAGGTCACTGTTTTTACATACTGAGATATGTTCTTTAACTTAGAAGAGTTAATCTGTACCCGTCTGGTCTTCACATGTTCCTTCATCATGTAAACAGCACAGACGGCGTTGGCATTTAGCCTCTCTCTTCTCCTCTATAGCTCCACATAGCTTCACGTTTTCCTTATTTAAATATGGTTACGTAAAGTGTTACACTATAAAGTATAATCACACAAAATTAAACAATGTGGATTTTCTAAATGGCTAAAAGGGGACCTATATTGTAAGGCGTAATAATACCAGGAATAGTTTGACATCTGCACAGTAAAGTGAAGATATTACTGCGTGGATGAAGGAAGTACTCCTGGCATTACGCCTTGCAATATAGTTCCCCTTTTTATCCGCTTAGAAAATCCACATTGTTTAATTTTGTATAATTATACTTTATAGTTTAACACGTCACGTAACCAAATTTAAATAGGGAAAACGTGGGAGAGCTTGGTAGCTTCTATCTTCACCTCGTTTGGAGCTAAAGAGGAGAAGAGAGAGGCTAAATGCTAACGCCGTCTGTGCTGTGTTTACGTGAGGGGGGGCAGGCATGAAGACAGGTACAGATGAACTCTTCTAAATTAAAGAACATATCTCATTATGTAAAAACAGTGGCCTATTCCTTTAAGGTAGATCACATTTCATACCCCACTAAGAAAATTGCCAATGTTTTCTACACCCATTAAAAAAAAAAAGTACCAACCTTCGACAATGACAAATCTTTTCAGCATCAACATGCGCATGCTCCCAACCATATAGTCATATAGAGGATATGGGTCAACCAAGTTACCAAGCTCAATTAAGCAAACCTCTGATTTGGTTGTGGAAGTAAGTTGAAATGCACCAAAATGTTCCCTATACCAGACACACTCAGCTTCCACAAGAAAACATAACTGGCTGTTCAGAATGCATAGTTTAAGGATCTTGTGAAATTTAGGCAGACCATCTGCAGTGCCATGAACAATGTGCATCCCCTCACTATAGTGGATACCACTGCAATGCACATGTTTTGCCATTCTTATCTCAGTCATATCTGGGTATCTTTGTTTAAGAGCATTCCCTATTCCCTCTGCCAAGACATGAACAGGCATAACTGACACATCTGTGACATCTATGGTTGATTTTCTAATGGAAGCATGTGTATGGAAGGCAAGCATGAACTGATGTTTAGTAGCTAATGAAGAAAGCATGTTCTTAAAGCAGTTAGAATGCCGTGCAACCTGTTTAAAAAAGCTGTGCTTAGCCTCGAATCTCATTGTCCAGAGATAAATTAGAGGCCCAAAGCAACGGATCATTTCGGGGTAGTGTTCGACAAAATGATGTTTAGGAATGAGTTTTACATTTGGGAATAGCTCAAGATAGCGCAGTCTGTGATCAGAGATTTTCGCCTCCAGATATGCAATAGTCTCATCTGAATGTAAGGGGGACACCGCCAACTCAACTATGTCTTTCAAATCAAGGATTACAAGCCATGCTGGCTCACTTTCAGGCACATACTGTCCAACAATCAAAGGGAGCATTCTTAACAATGTCCAATTTTCATGAGCGTTGCCACCAATACTTTTGTTTGACATAAATGACAGAGGTATTGCATTTGGCCGATTAGTTTTGTCCCCCCATTTAAATGGAAATGTCTGGATTAATGTGTTGAGTTGATTTAAGCACAAATACTTCTTTGAAATCAACATGCCGATACAATGTGCGAGTTCAACGGGCACTATGCCCTCAAACAGATCGTGAAGAAGATCTGGAGGATAGCCAGTACAAACATTGAAGTGTGACAGGTGCTTTGTAAAAATACACTGTCTTTTGACACCACAGAAAATGGTTTTGTCATCTTGGGCAGACTTAACATGCACATCGTGGACATCTTTAGTTCTAAGTTGAAATGAACCAGACATGACATCCTTAGTCTGAAATTCAGACTTATGTCCAGTACAGAATCTGCATATTGATCCTCCAGAAAAACTTTCGACAAAGCCACCAATCCCATGGGCTGCAAGATTGTCAGCTATTACACACTGGACTGTGCCTTTTACAAACTGACCAAGGAGGGGAATGAAAACACCCTGCTGCTCTAACTGAGTCAAATCTTGCAAAAGAGGCTCAAAAACCTTTTCATAACCATAAACTTTCAAGTCATTAGATTTACAAAGCAGGGCTAACTGGATAGACGTCAGTTTTGAAGTAGAACCTGGGGGCAAACTACCCAAAACCCAATAGACAGCACACACCTTGTGTTTCTTGCGAGATGTGCCAAGTGGGTTGCAGACTTCGAAGTCGTCTACATACAGATTTAATGCAATTCTCCACCCTTCAAATGACAAGAAAATGTTTTGTTGGTAATACTTTCCATCTTTTATACTTCTGTAGTTTTGAGGCCAAGTGATTGTGCAATCTTTCTTCGGATTTTCAATATATGCAAGAACATCATTATGACTGAGCAACTGTTGTAGAGAGAGTAAAAGAGGTACATATTGAAATGTCTTGTTTTTTGGCGCATCTAATATGTACTGGACAGGCTCAATAACACCAAAATGACATTTGTAGTACTGTTTACGTTTGTGTGCCGTAGCTAAAGGCCCATCTTTTGCAATTGCTTTGACCAATGGATTGGATTGGCATATACCAGAGGCAAGATCATTGACAAATGAATCATCAACTTGCAGTTTATGACACTGGAACACTTCATAAACTGCAGCTTTAGTGACAGGCACAGAATCAGAACTTAATATGAAGTGAATCTCAGAAAGGATCTCATCAACAACTGCCTTTGGAATGTGATGAACATTTTCCAACTTTAAAAGAATGCAAGCCATTTTTTCTTCAATAATAACTGGTGAGTGAAGTTCAGTATCCTCAACAGAACACTCATCAAAATCTATGGCCGCAATTGGTTCAACTTCTGGATCACCTGGCACATCATCTGCTTCTTCTAACTGACTGCGTGTTGTCAAAACTTGAGCTTTGAAGTCTGTGGCTGAATATTTGTTGTGCTTTCTGTTTTTATGTGTCTTGAAAGTGCTGTAGATGTTTGTTTCAAAGGCACATCCTTGAAAAACACAAGGAACATTTTGATATTGTTTAAGATGTGTGTATATGTGCTGGAAAAAGTTTCTTTCTGTTGGGA